CTTCATTAGTAGTTATTTCCTGTTAATGGAGCTGGTATTATCAGAATATCTCATTACATTCTGTATCGAATGATCAGAAATTCTCTCTTGGATGATAACATAAATTGAGACTCTCCACGGCTGTTCACGGTGGTGATTTTAATTGTAATTAAGCTACAATATCTGCAGATCTATAAACAAACGTAAATTTTCAACCTCCTACTTGCTGATCAACTCATTTTCTTAACGGGATGCTTTTGTTGGCACTGTTCGATCTGTTGAGGAGTAACGTTGGTCGGTCAAAATATTGACTTTTAATTGCGATCGATAATTTGCACTGTAAGGATGGGTAGTCTTACTCTGAATTTTATAGCACTTAATTTGTAAGGAACCCTGAACTGCTCCATTTGATATAAATGTCCGTAATGCATTGATGGTTGTCTTCGGCTATCTTTCCAAAATGCTCAGCGTGTGACTTGCTTCTATAAGTCATAAGTGAAAAAATACCATAACTGGGAGCATCGCCTTCATGGTAATGGTCATAACAATATTCAGTGATGACGAAGATTATTATTCCTGTAATCAAATTGGTGCATAATTATCCTGAAATCAGATATAACGACGTATTGCATCGTCTACTTGCTCATAGATATGGGGGGGGGGACTGTTTTAGCAGGTCAATGTTCTCATACAGGCTGGGATGCATATCACCTCGACTTATGCGTGAGAGAATCTCATGATCCTCAAGAATGATGTTTCGTGAGTTGGTGCTGCCTATACGCTACCCCACAAATATCATAATACTAGTTCGTAAGCTGGAGTATGTAAACTGACACCACATTTTCAGAACCAAATGACGATAATGGGCATGGTATTGAGGACGGTTGCCTCGAGTGCTTTTGTACCGGGTAGTTTTTTCTGAAAGGCATAAGGACACTACTCATATCTAGTACCATTTTTCTGTTAATAAACCATAACTGGTGATGAAAATACACGTAGCCATGCATTGTCCTGGCATGCAAGTACCAAATATTGGTCATTTTCTCCTTTTCTCATGAGGTTGGTGCTGAGTCTGTTTCAGTGAAGATGCATATTAAACAGCACTGCAGATGAGTAGACTGTTTTAGAGTGGAGTTGCTAGAATGCATAACCTCACTGTCATTCACTTTCACAGTGGGTAGTAAAAGTTTGTATTATTTGAAATCTTAACATAAGCCTGTTCACATGTTATCTGATATCAACTGTAATAGTTTCTTCGAACGCAGTGTGTTACAAGCAAGTTTCAAAAATTTCTTGCAGTGTCGTCGGTCTTCCCCTTCTTATTCGACGGCAAGCCACAAACACTCAGGAAGCTAGAAACTGAATATGAGCCACCACTCTGCAGTTATCTGAAAAAGAGACGAGAATTTCGCGAGTGCAGTCAAGATATGCTTGTTTCGTTAAGTCGGAGCATATTCAGCGCCGTGTTAACTGTCAAAAATCTTCAGGCACAGAAATCTGTCTGCTTCATAATTCCATCAACCACTATGACGGTCTGGTCTTCAGCAAAATCATTTTCTTCCATCACCGGTTTAAGACCAAGAAAGGCAAACTTCACAGGTTATCTGAGGACGATGTCGGATGTGGCATTAAAGTTCAACAGATAATAAATAATAAAGGGTTTCGTATAATGCATGGTGGCAATATCCTCTGTCTTGAACCGTGATTTCAAAGCCAAATAAGTATTTATGTATTGTTTACTGGTCGACAAGGTTGTCGTTTACTCGCGCTGATGTGATGGTCAAATTACTTAATCAACGGTAGAGAGCAATTCATTTCAGCTCCTTGAAGGCTTTCCATTGCAGTGTACAATAAATACTTGTCCTCGGTCGATTGCTATCAGCGCTAATGTCCCTGTCACGAATAGACTGATTTCGTTTTTCGGTACTGAAGCCCCTACCATAACATATTGTGTAACAGGAAAGCAATTTTCATCGATAGTCACACCCGAAATAGTAGTTATTTAGTTTATTTATGACGGATGTTCCTGGACTCTGACAGGACCTTGGACTGTTTCTGTACCATGTATCTTTTTCAGCTCATTAAGGAACATCTTGTTATGATTCTAAAAGCGTCTTGATGAATAAAATTATTCCAGCTTCTGGCTTAGCTCTCATTGGTCCGGCAATAGGTTTAAAACGTGACGTCGTGTAAAATTTCGTTTTTCTTCTTCTAGTGCTGCACTGTGCTGCTAGCAAAGGCAACGCTGCGCTGCTGCAGTACATGCTGAACAAGACCGTGGAGCTGAATGTCGACTGCCAGGATTCGGTTGGATGCACACCTTTGTTTTACGCGGTTGAACTTGGGCACCTGTCATGCGTGAAGATACTGCTTGACAGCGGCGCTTCGCCGAATCTCCAGGACAAGAACCTTCGCACGGCCGCCCACCACGGCGCTTGTAAGGGGCAGTTGAAATGCCTGATGCTGCTCAGGAAGTACGGTGTCAGTTTCGACATGGAGAACTCCATAGGCGAGCTCGTCTTACACGAAGCCGTACGTTCCGGCAGTACAGGTAAGGCGTTTCGACAACGTAGCTGAAAATGTTGTTTCATATCATAACTTAACATATACATAAAATAAAAATACAGTGCAACTTTTCAGTGTGAAAAAATGTGTGAAAAGTGTGTACTGACTACTTACAGAAAACAGAAAAATACCTAAAGCATCAAGAAATGAAACAAAACATTGGCTGTAGGAAACTGACAGGATTTAGCTGTCAAAGTAGAAGTGGCAGCTTGTCAGGAAGAGACAAAGGATCTTGCATAGAATGGAAATTTTACTGAAAAATTATTCTGCATTCAGTCTAATCACCGTATGGCCGTAATCGAACTTCTAAAATTTTCTCTGTCATGCTGAAATTGCTCGGTTGAAAGACAGATACATTTGTATGTTGAAACGTTAAAATATGAGGATGATTGCCCCTCCCTATAGTTCTCAGCCAGGAACGCGAAACACTGATAACGCATAAGAAGACTTCAAAGAACGTGAAAAGCGTAGTCCTTATCAAGAACAGGAAGGCGTAACTGTCCTGGGTTACTCAGCCATAGCCCTTAGTGTACACAACGGAGTCAGGATAATAGGTAATGCTTGCAACGCCTTAACATATCCTCGAAAGCAGCCCAT